TTGAAATTATTCATCTAAACACATACCTTTTGTGATGATCTTATAAGCAATCTTTTGAAGTTCATAACATTGAGCCTCCACACACCTTTCATTTATACCATATGATACTTTAGGTAGAAACTAATGACATACTTCTTTATTTTAACTTCCTCGGTGTCATACTTCTTTTGTAGAGCCTCCCAAACCTGTTTTGCAGTATTGCAGATCATCTGCGAGTCCATTAAGAATATAATTTTGTAGAGATAATCATTCTCTTTTCATAAGGTGATTTCTTTTATAAGTTGAAAATCGTTCACTTTAATCTGTGCAACAAATTCACCTTTAACACTATTAAGTGTTCCATCTGAATCCACAAATTTCGTACCGTTAATTTACTCTGTTGATCCATAGGGAGCAACAGGGATATCACCGGTCAGAATATTGGCAATATTTTTTTTCTTTAGAAAATTATAAATTTTGTTGCCAACATTTGAAGTGACTTCCCTCAAACTCGAACAGTTTATCATAAACAACAGCCGCAGAAGTACCAATAATTTCTTCTATAAGCATGTCAGTTCGAAACGTCTTAAAATTGTTGTTTCACAGTTTTGAAAATTAGTCACAGAAGAAATTACTGGGTCGAGTCGCGGACTAGGTCGATCTCTTTAAGATGTTTCCCGACACTGCCCAAAATTTTCAAAGCAATCGAACTATCGCGCCGCCTCCAGGATAAAACAACTCAGTTCTATATTGTACGATTACTACTTGCACAGTAGATAATCGATATAGAAATACACCCTCTGATGGTACAAAGACATTTGAATGTGGTATAAATACCATTCGTAGTATCTGGTATAACAACCAGTCGTAATAATTTCTCAAATCAAGAGAAATTCAAATAATTCTCCAAAGAGAATCCAAAAACTAATACTTGTAATTTCTCAACTCAAATAAGGATAAATTAACATAATTCTCTAAAAGAGAATTCGAGAAACTACTCGAAAAAATCAACGAGTTGAAAGAAATGGAGAGAAGTTGACGCTTTGACAATTCGAAAGACGATGAGTTATGAGAGTGAAAAAGAAAAAACTCAAAATTAGATTTTGAGGGTGTTTTGGGATGAAATAGAGAATTTCCTTATATATGAAGTAGAGAAGAAAATATATCTCATTTAAACAATGTGAGACTAACACATAATGTAGAACTTGACTTAAGCAACTTTTTAAAATTTATCATATATATATATATATATATATATATATATATATATATATATATATATATATATATATATATATATATATATATATATATATATATATATATATATATATATATATATATATATATATATATATATATATATATATATATATATATATATATATATATATATATATATATATATATATATATATATATATATATATATATATATATATATATATATATATATATATATATATATATATATATATATATATATATATATATATATATATATATATATATATATATATATATATATATATATATATATATATATATATATATATATATATATAAAAGACAACGAAGTTTTCTAGAAATAACATAAATATTATTAGGACCAATACATCATTGACGCTTTTCCTCTATCTAGAAAGAATGTTAAAAATAGCAATCGTAGGCTAGAAATAGAAGCACATAATTTATTCATTCATGTTAAAGCAACATCTCAAAACCAATTGATGATGACACGAGCCAAATATTCAACAAATTTGAGTGGCTTAGGATGCATGCTTGTCTCGTAATTCCGTTGCTTCATTCATAGGATATATTTGAATGGTTTACGAGTACAAGTTGCATGAATTGTAATTTTGCTTGGTTACAAAGTTAGTACGTTAAAAATAATTGACGTGGTAGCTGCTTACATAATTGATGTGCAGTGCATGTCACAAAGAGAATCATGCTCTCCATGACGATTCTCTCTACCCATTAACGTCCATTTCACAAAAAAGACATTCTTCGATTTGTAGGTTCCACCTAAATGCCGAAGTGGTTCTCAAGAAATTTATATCTATTGGTACATTTTCCAGTACCATTTATTTTCAGTACTGTGTACAACTACAAGTACATCAAGCACCATTTTGAAAAGTTCAACCTGTCTGTTTCTTGTTGTCAAAATGAAGTGTCAAACATGATACGAAATTCACACACGCAATTTTAAGATTTTAAATTCATATTCTAGTAAAAATGTTTATTATAAATGTATCAGTATAGTTAAATTAGGTAGGTGAAAAATTGAACATTGAATTTATTAGCCACTAACACTAAAGTCTGATGAATATAATTTTATTATCACCTTGATTTAGATGATTAGTATATACCTTTACACTGAAAATGGAGCAACATTGTATGAATTTCACAGCCATTGGTTTCACATTACTCTCTGTGTTTTAAAATAAAAGTTTTTTAAAATTTTTACACAAAATTTAAGAAAACTAATGATTGAATGAATAAATGTGATAATTTACAAAAACTGTTACTATTTACTATTATTTATTATATCTTGTCAATAATTATATAGGACTCTCTCCGTTCCAAATTATAAAATGTTTTTGTCATTTCACACGAAATAAGAAACTTAATTACTAATTTAAGAAACATAATTACATAAAAGAGATAAATTAAAAGAGTTGATAGAATAAATAATAATAAATATGATTATTTAATCCTGAAGTCCCTTAACTTAATTTCAATTTTCAGTTTGGTTCCTTATGTAATAAATGTTACAATTTAATCCCTTAACAATCGTTCTGTTAACTAATTTGATCCATCATGTTAATTTGACAATGAAAACGTTAAGTACGCTGATGTGGCATGACAACAAGGATTAATATACATTTGTGACTCAACATATTGCATTGTATTAACTTTGTAACCTCATTCTTTGTTCAATGTAATATTTTCACATTAGGGTTACTATTCATCATCTCCTTCCTCCTTCTCCATTCATGTATAACTTGTCAATGAACTCTAACAACAATTCAAAATCAAACATCTAAAATTATGCGTCATTTGGATCTGTTGTGATAAGAAAGAAAATGATGAAGTGTTGGTGCGAAAAAAAGTGTGTAACGCGTACTGTTACAGATTTGAATAGTGTCAATGTTGAAAAAAAAGATTTGGGGTTGTAGAAATTACAAAAATCAACTAGCAATTTTTTCAAGTGGGTAGGTGATGAAGTTGTTGATAGAAGGGATTTGAAGATTGAAAGGCAAAGGAAGAAAATATTCAAGTTGAAGAATGGGGCTTTGAGCATAAGAAGAATGTTGAAAAATGCAAATTTGTTTGGCATTATTAGTTTAAGGTTTAATATAGTTCTTGTAACAATGTATTTGAAATAGATTTGTGGACAACACAACATATAATTTGATGTTATGAATGTATGAATGTTTGATATTGGTTAAATGAAATGGATTTAATGTTATAATTGTTATCCAATGTTTAAGCATTTCTATTATGGTATGAATTGATGGTCTGTAATGTTGTAGAACGAGGATTTAAGTAAAATAAAATTATTATATAAGGGACTTAACTGAAATAATGGAATATTGCTTTAACAAAATAGGGAATGTGTTTTATATCTGATTCTATGTTAACATATAGTTGATGAATATTGCTTTAACAAAATATTTTGCATTATAAAAAACAAGTTGGTGAATCATGTAAAGAACAAGTTGATGACTATTGCTTTAACAAAATATTTTGCTTTATAAAAACATGTGTTTTTGACACTAATAGAAAAAGGCATTATAAAAGCATGTGTTCTTAAAACTGATACGAAAAGGCATTATAAAAGCATGCGTTCTTTGACATTGATACAAAAAGGCATTTGTTCTTTGCCACTAACACAAAAAAGCCTAAGTTAGTGTTCATTGACACTAATACACAAAAGCTTAATTAAAGTGTTCACTGACACTAAGTTACACAAATATGAAAAAGTGAAATTGGATCAAGTTGCAGTTGCTTCAGGTTGAGTTGGTGCATGATGACTTGCTTCAGGATGAGTTGATGCAGGATGACTTGCTTCAGGCTGAGATGCTTCAAGCTGACTTAGACCAGGATGACTTGATTCAGGTTGAATGGTCTGACTGAAGTTTGTAGGTTGCTTTGTTGTGCTTCATCACGTGGCATCTACTGCACTTGATGATAAAGTTAGCTCTTTTTAGCTGTGTGTCATCCCTTATACTCTCTTATGCATCTCTAGTCCTCTTATTCTTTGGTCTTCCTAGTTGCCTTTTGATTGGTGGTGGTTGTAATTCAACATAGTCGTTTTTCTCCCAAAGAGTTTTCTCATTAACTGAATAAATTACAGGTGCATAGCATGCTTCATACATTTGTTTTTTGTAGCAATCAAGCAGATAACTTTCAATCTCTAATTTTTGAGATTTTATGCAAGCTATAGCATGACAACATGGTAAACCTTTCAACATCCATCTTCTGCAGGAACACACCTTGGTGGACAGATTCAAAGTATATTTTTCTCCATTATATGAGATGTGTCTCACCTTATAATCGTACTCACTTGGACGCTTGCTAAATATACAACAACTCAGACACGCAGCTTAATGAACAAATGTAAAACAAACATGTTATTGAACAAATACCTCACTATCCAGTTGTTTGTTTTTTCAGATTCGTTTGCAATATTTTTCTTGATATTGGGTAAAATATCACCTTCAAACTTGGCAATTTTTTGTCTGTTCGAATCTCATCTTTGCATGAGATATACTCTGATTTCTTCAATCATTGTTATGATTGGCTTGGCCCTAGCTGTCATAAACATAAAGTTGAAAGCCTCTAACATGTTGTTCACCAAGGTATCACACAAAGGATTGGTTTTGAAGAAAGCCTTGATCTAAAACCTAGTTGGTAACTTTATTAAATTCTTGAATGCATTTACTTTAATAGCCTTCATTTCCAACATGGCTTTTTCAAAAGCATTTGTATGCAAGAGTTTTGTTGATCTCCACATTCTATTTCTGTTGAGTCTTCTCCATGATGTCACATAGCTTTAAAGTAGGATTCTCCCTCACATCGTTCTGTATCTTAATGCTGAGCCACTTAGATGTGAGAAAAATCACCTTGTAATCTCTACTACATGCGTGTTTATCAATAATCTTCCTGAGCTTCCATGTATCTGCATCCTGAATTTTTGCACAATATGTCTCCCACGAACAACCTTTTTTACATATCACTCTCATCCTTTTCTTGTCATTTTTCTTGAACTTTGTGTTCCTACCATTGTGTATGGCATAAGTCGTAATACCATATTTGAAATCTTGTTTAAAAGCAAAGTATGTCCCCAATTCCCACTTATAGTCATCCATCTTTTTAGGCAATTTGAAAGTTTATTATTCTGCCTTTCCAACACAGTCATCTTCACTAAAATACTCTTCAAAGCCATCCTCACTATTCTCATCCTCTATGTCACTCAAACCCTTCAAATTTAAATTTAGTTGTTCTTCATCTGCATCACTTTCATCCAAAAGACTTCTTTCACCAAATGCTTCACACACATTAATTTTCTTACATGGTCTTCAAACTTTCCCTTTACCTCTCCCTTTACCCATCCCTTTACCCTTCCCTTTACCTTTACCATTCCCCTTCCCATTCGCCTTACCTTTACCCTTCCTTTCCCCCCCTTTTTTAGAGCGTTGTTCTTCAACCACCTCATCTTTAGAAACTTCATATTCAGTTAATGGTATGTCTTCATTCATTACCACATCATCATCAGAATCTTCAAATTTGATCTCTAATTAACTGTCATCACTGCCACCATCTTCATTTTCAACAGTCCCCTCATCATGTTCAACTTCAGTGGTCCCCTCATCCTATTCAACCTCAGTGGTCCCCTTGTCTCCAACTTCCACATCATGTACAACATTTGTGGCCCCCTTGTCATTTATTTCTCATCCTTCCACATTAGCTTTAACCTCAATGTCTCCTTCATCCATAACACTCTCAAACTCAGTTGGGAAATTTTCAGTATTGTCTCCTACATTCTCCACACAAGTGGTCCCCTTATTAATGTTCTCACCTATCTCAATTTCAGTGGCACCTACTTGAACACTATACTCAAGTGATAATATTGGTTCCTCAATTACATCAACTTGTAGGATATGAAGCATAAAATATAAATGCATTTCCCCAGTCAACACAATAATTGTATGCATCCTCATTATTCCATTGTCATCTTTCAACTCCACTATGTTATTACACTTCATTTGATCATAATACCAAAGGCTCTCTATAGTTGGATAACCTAAATCCCTTAACCCATCTAATACTTCAAAGTAACTCCAAAAATCAAGCTCAACATCCCAAGTTTCCTCTAAGCCATTATAACCTAATTTCGTTAACTCAATAAAGTCACCCCTATGATGAACAATGCATTTAAAACGACTATCCAAGACCTAGATACAGTAACTACATGAGAAATACATCTAACGAAGATGAAAAACCCTAAATGAGAAATACAATAAACGAAGTGGAAGTATATACAGTTTGCATCATTCCTACCTTAAAATAGATGATGGACGTTGTTCTTCTTTCACTCGGTAAGAAATATTATACAAACCCTAAAACGAAGAAGAAGAAAAAATGTATGAAACAAAGCTGGAGATGAACGAAGTATCATAAATGAGGATGAAATGAAATTTATGGTTAACATACCTTGACGAACAAATATGAAAGGTGATGATAGCTACACGAATGAAGATGAAGATGAATGCTAGCTTTGTTAGGGTTTTCCAACAGAGAGAGCTCAAGTGAAGTCAAAATGAAGTAAACTGGGTTAAAATGAAATGTTGCAAATTCATAAATATTTTAATTAAAATGTCTTACCATAAATTCATGTTACCTAAGGAAGTCCAGCTAGACTGCCACCCTAACAAAAACTAACGGAAATACACACATTTTAACAGAAAGGATGACATTAGCTAACAAAATTACAATTAAAGGACCTGAAACTAACGTTTATTACATAAGGGATCAAACTGAAGACTGAAATTAAATTAAGGGACCAAAGGATGTATTAAGGCTAATAAATATTTAAGGATATACTGAAGAAAATGTCATTAATATTGCATTAGGAATGTAAGGTGATTTATAATTTAGAACAAATTATTTTAAAAACATAATTTATAATTTAGGATGTAAGGTGATTTATAATTTTGAGACGAATTATTTTGAAAAAATAACTTATATTTAATGACTAAAAGGTAATAATAACTATAGATAAAATTAGTAAAATTTAATTAACAAAATTAGTTAGATAAAGAGACTTTTGTTTTGGAATAGAGAGTATAACAGATGCCATGTCATCCTTAGAGTTCAACCCATTTATTTAACAAGTTCAATTTTTTCTCAAAGGCTTATTTAGTTTAGGAAGCATTCCTATTGGAAATTTACAGAAGCTACAAAATGAAGCTTTGATGTGGATGTATTTGTTGTTGTGGTGTCAACTAGAAATGATAGGCGGATGGCACAAACACACCCCTTTTACTTAACAGCACATGTTTTGTTTTGAAGTCTTTTTATTCCCATATCATATCTAAAAAGTTTATCATATTATTTTAGAATTAGTCTATGGAATCAATTTGTTTATATTTTATACACTCTCCCAAGAAAAGCATATTTGCTTGAGATAATTTGTCATTCACAAACTGCAACTATTTACACTATTTAATTTTCATATTTTATTTAAATTCATTTAATATTTTTTTAAAGATGAATGAAAAGTTTTGCATAAGAGATAAAAGTTAGTAGTTGATGAGACTGAGATTGTACTTGAGGAATGATTCTGAATTTAAATTATTTCTTTTAGAAATAACATCGTAGTGGGATATACTATGTCAAAAAAGATCTTTAGCCGTGTTTCTTTTTGCCATTTAACAGTGCTGCATAAAGTGGCGTTGCTGTAGGTAAAGACAACGCTTTTTTAAGTAAAAAACATTGCTATAGACCCCCTTTTAGTAGCGCTTTTCTAGAAAAGCGCTCTCTCCCCCCTTTTAGCGACACTTTTAGAAGCGCTCTCTAAAGTATATTTTCTTAAGACCTTTAACAACGCTTTTTCATTATAAACGCTCTCTTTTCCACCCTCTTTTAGCAGCGCTTTAAAAGCGCTCTCTAAAGTATATTTGCTGAAGTCATATAGCAGCGCTTTTCTTAAGAAAAGCGCTCTCTTTTCTCCCCCTTTTAGCAGCGTTTTTAAAAGCGCTCTCTTTCCCCCCTATAGTAGTGCTTTTAGAAGCGCTCTCTTCCCCCCTCCCCTTTTAGCAGCGCTTTTTCAAGAAAAGCGTTGTCTTTTCCTCACGTCATTGAATTTTTTTTCTTTTAAAAATCACTTTTTCTTAGCATTTTTTGGTAAAAGCGCTCTCTATTGTGCATATTTTTATGAAATGTTTTTTGTTGAATGTTGTTGCACAATTCTTTATAATTTATCACATAAACCTGCTTATAACAATTATATTCAACACAAGCCTTTATTTCAACACTTAGGCCTTATATATATATATATATATATATATATATATATATATATATATATATATATATATATATATATATATATATATATATATATATATATATATATATATATATATATATATATATATATATATATATATATATATATATATATATATATATATATATATATATATATATATATATATATATATATATATATATATATATATATATATATATATATATATATATATATATATATATATATATATATATATATATATATATATATATATATATATATATATATATATATATATATATATATATATATATATATATATATATATATATATATATATATATATATATATATATATATATATATATATATATATATATATATAATTAAACAGAAACGATCCATAATTCTAAAATATATTCCAAAACCGATAACTTCACAAATATATTCACTATACATATAATTACAAATTCCATATTTCCGGATCCTTATAACAACTAGCTTCTAGAAGTATATCAACAAATTCCTAAACTATATACGACTTCCAGAAATATAATTGTCCAGTAGTATGTACATAACATCACAACAACACAAATCTCTAAAGACCATAAACTTCGATCAAAAGACAGAAAGACAATATATATACCTAATACAATTCTCATCTCAAGAATGTATTGACACCATTCCTCCTTAATGTCTTCAAATTCATCTTTCGAGTAAGTACCACACTTGAATTTATCAAAGTACTACATAATATAACATAATATGCATGATTTAGTTAAAACTAATTACTCAGATGAAATATTGGTTAAATATTAAAATAAATCATATAACTTATAAATCCATACCATGTTTGGAATCTCTATTTGACCCGAATGAATAATTTCCTTCGTAAACCTCAATACAAAATAACTACAATCAATCTCATTGTGCTGACGAGGACACTGCACATGTAAAAAAACGAATATATATCAGGATATATAGTTAAACTAGTTTTATCAAGTAGAATCACTATAACAATCAAAATTGTGAAAATATACCTGCACTCTGATCCATCTAATGTTGTTAGACTTACTCTTTGGTACTCTTGTTTGTCTTTGTGATCGAATTATTTGTATAGCTCTAACATATATAATATAAACGAATATTTAGAACAATCTCACATAATAAATAAAGATAATTATTCAGAACAACATATCTCATCGCTTACGTATCAACCATATACTTCATATTAGGATATTTTGTTTAATCACCATCCAGTGAATCCAGATAATACCCTATTTCTTTTATCAGATTAATCAGAACCAACAACTAGTGTCCACTGTAAAATAACATAAGAGTTTAGACAAAAATGTTATGTAGAATGTCAAAAAACAAATAATTATAATAAATGAAATTAGAATGAAATCTAACCCATGGCCAGTATTATATGGCAAAAAATATAACTTCTCTGTATTTGTGGCCATAAATGCTTGGACTAAGTAATCTCTGACTACATCTGGAGTGTGATTGATTAACTGTACGTTGATACAGCTAGAAGATAAGAATGCGAATCTCTTTGTCAATTGATGCGGGACTAACAACTTATCATACAATAACCTTAAATAAAAACATAATCAACATTAGAATATATTCATTGAAATGATCAAATAAATTGTTTAATTATTTAATTAAAATTTATCGGAGTACCTGATATATGAATGTATAACACTGATGCCTAATTTAGAATGTTGGAAAATCTGATCCAAATTCTCTTTAGCAATTGTTTCGGCATAGTTAAAACTGAAAATACCTTCATCCATAGGTATTTGATGAATTCCACCCTCCACCACA